CAGCATGTCTCTGAATTGCAGGCTTGCGGCTATGGGAAACAGGCTGGTGGGGTTCGGACTTGGAAGGTTTAAGGCCATTTGGGGCTTGGTGGCCTTTATATACTGATTCTTGCACAGCGTCTCCCCTTGTCCTATCATGGCTCGTTTTTTCTTGCATGCACGCTTCCTGCTGGCATGCAGGTGCATGTAGGCACACCTGGATACTGCACGTCACTCATTTACACATGGATATATCCGTCGAGTGGTTTTATACACAGGCATGAATTCCTTCGCGTCTGCACACATAAATAGAAGCAGGCCGAACGATAATCGCACTTGTATGTTTGTGTATGTATGTATATGTATGTATGTATGTATGCATGTGTGTATGTATGTGTGTGTGTATGTATGTGTGTATATATACATATACATATTGTACAACTTATACTAATTTGATAGGTTGCGAAAAAATAGATGGCTAGGAAGGTAGGTAGGTAGGTAGGCACGAGGGTAGGTAGAGATAGGTATACAGGATATTTCATTATTATATAGACAACAGATATGAAATATACAGTATCTAGATGCATGTACAGATGCAAGTATGCGCGTCAGCACTGTCGTCTTGTTATGTAAGGTTCAAGCACAGACTCAAAAACGTTCAAGCTAGTGACGGTATGAATTGGCTCTTCGATCCGTATCTTGTCCCTCCCGTCACTACATACGAGATCAGCTTCGGATCTGCACGTGTCACCAAGCATTCCCGATGGAGCGGGGACGCAGGGCTTGCTTCACTCTTCGACGTCTTCGACCTAGTAAAATTCATCGCAACTGATGAATTTAATTCCATTGCCTTTGTCGTTGTCATTGCCCTTCTTTTGCAAAGGTTGTTGGTGCGCGATTTTTTCACGGGGCCCTCCATATGCAGCAGGGCCAAGTGCCCAAAAGTCTTCTAATAACCACTAGCTTAGCCCGTAACCCCACCTCCCCGGTCTCATCCCCGATCCTGCTGCGCACGCAAGCAGTGCCGGCAGTCTGCCAGGACATGGAGAGGCAGCGGATGCAGGCAATTCAGCGTGACCCTCGAGAATTTCGTGGAGACCCAGTGCGATGCAACATCCTTCCTCCGCATCAGAGCAACAGTTAAGAGTACCTGTTGTCACTAAAGACAGCTAGGATTGTGCTGCTGCAGATTCTTCGCATCATTCACTTTCACCGCAAGTGCCTTTGATCGGAACGTTGAAGAAGACATAGCACTAGCAGCAACAACGCCAATTCTATTCAAATGACTATAGCAGGCATTGTCACTGATTTTCAGTGCATATTTCGCTTGCCTTACAGATATCGGATGTTGTGTATCCCTACACAGCAGAGCTGCCACTGCTACTACTGCTGCTACTACTTACTACGACGACGACTACTTCGACGACGACGACGACGACGACGAGTACTACTACTACTACTACTACTACTACTACTACTACTACTACTATTACTACTACTACCGCTCTCGTTTTTCATGTCATGACACAGTGCGTCGAGGTGGGGCCGGCACCTAGTCCAGCCGATTCCCCAGATGCAGCCCGTCACCCAGGTGTTCCGTTCTCCCGACTTTCTATCGAAGTAGAGGAGGCCCTGTATAGGCCTGAGCAGGAAAGATCCTGATTAAGGTCCGTTTCTGCATCTGTTGCCTGAGAAGAGATGTTCTGTGAGACAAACTGGGATTCAGAGCTAAAATTCCCCTGGAAGCACAAGGCAGCAGGCCGTGCGAAACGACGCACTTTGTAGATAATTTCGAAAGTCTGCTAACAGATGGCATGATGCCATACAAGTTGCGAAACCTAGCGATGTTTGTTGCACCAGCTTGCTTAGGTTCCTGCCTCCGAAATCAGCAGCCGCCAAAGCCTATGCGGCACGGGAAGAGCATCTTGAATGCAGATTGACGGGTTGACCAAACTTGACATGAGACTCTTCATATCGTTTCTGCTTCAACGATTGTGCGCTTGATTGGCCTTGTTCACTCCAGTATGAATCGTTCGTATGAGTGACATGTCATCCGCGATTTTTCTGCTTGCCCGACCCGGCCACAAAGCAGTCATGTGTCGTCGGATACGAAAGTGCATTTCAATTTCGAAATCAGTTCTTCACTCTCCCGCCTGGCCTGCCTAGTTGACTGGAAGCGGATACCGCATTCCAGCAAGTCGACAATTCACGAAAACCTGCTTCCGAACACTGGACCTCTCAAATCGTAGCCTGCTGAAGACCCTCCTCCCGTGGTCGAGGTCTGCCAGATCGGCCGCACCGTCGGAAGAGACGCTCGGAGCCACAACTAGACACTCATACTCACGGTATCTCGAGTTGCTAAGACTAAGACTAGTAACTACTACTACTACTGCTACTACTACTACTACTACATCTTCTTCTGCTATTCCTACTACTACTACTACTGCTACTACTACTACTACTACTACTACTACTACTACTACTACTACTACTACTGTTACTACTACTACTACTACTACTACTACTACTACTCCTGCTACTACTACTACTACTACTACTACTACTTCTACTTCTACTACTATTACTACTACTACTACTCCTACTATTACTACTACTAGTACTACTACTACTACTACCACTGCTACTACTACTACTACTACTACCACTACTACTACTACTACTACTACTACTACTACTATTACTACTACTACTATTACTACTACTTCTACTACTACTACTACTACTACTACTACTACTACTACTACTACTACTACTAGCTACTAGCTACTAGCTACTAACTAGTAACTACTAACTACTCACTACTAACTACTAACTACTAACTACTAGCTACTAGCACCTAACTACTAACTACTAACTACTAACTACTAACTACCTACTACTAACTACCTACTACTACTACTACCACTACTACTACTACTACTACTACTACTACTACTACTACTACTACTACTACTACTACTACTACTACTACTACTACTACGCTACGTATACTAGCACTACTACTACTACTACTACTACTACTACTACTACTACTACTACTACTACTACTACTACTACTACTACTACTACTACTACTACTACTACTACTACTACTACTACTACTACTACTACTACTACTACTACTACTACTACTACTACTACTACTAACTACCTACTACCTACTACCAACTACCACTACCACTACTACTACTACTACTACTACTACTACTACTACTACTACTACTACTACTACTACTACTACTACTACTACTACTACTTTTACAAATACTACAAATACTACTACTGCTGCTGCTGCTGCTACTACTACTACTACTACTACGACTACTGTTGCTACAGTGGATGCTGCTACTACTACGGCTACTCCTCCTGCTGTTACTGCCACTACTGGACTACTAATTACTCCTGCTGCTACTACTGCGGCTGCGACTGCACTGAAACTGCGACTGCGACTGTGAATACGACTGCGACGAGTACTACATCTACTGCTACTGCTACTGCTACTGCTACTGCTGCTACTACTACAGCTACAGCATACAGTACTACTACTACCACCTACTACTACTACTACTACCACCAGACTTACATGCCGTGATTTTTCACTTGCATGTTTGCACGCATGACATGCAGGTCGCCATGTGTGTGTGTGTCTACATCTATATCTATATGTACCTATCTCTATTATGTGTGCGTTCTCCTGTGTGACCTCATGTGTGGTTCTGCAAACAGCTGCTCTTATATGTACATAGAAGTATGTAAGTATGTATATTAAATTGCGTATATATATATATATACATACGTGTGTGTGTGTATTCACATGTGTATACATATGTACACAGTGGTTGTAGATTACTTGTAGCCCAGATTCGGGATTTGCACGTTGCTGCCAGGCACAGGGTGCTACAAGCTGATCGCTTCAGCTCATACGGCTTTGGGAGGGTTGAGGGCTCTTGGGGTTTGAGCGGTTTAAGGCCACAGGTTTTCGACTTCAGGCCAGTTCCCGAAGGCGCTTTAAAGTTTGATGGGAAATTTTGGGCTTGGATGGCACATGTAGGAGGGCAGGGGTATCAGCCTCTGACCCTCACCCGTCTATCAATCCGGAAGCCAAACCACAAACCATCATTAGGCATTGAGAAACACAAGTATAAATACGAAGACGGACTGATACAAGTAGACAGATTAGATTGCGGTGCGTGTTGAGTTTGTGTTTATTAGTGTGCCTGAGGTGGTCGCGGGTGCCGCCCCCCGGCAGCGACGTGCCGAACCTGTGACCACCGAGTTCGACAATCTAACCCGAAACTCTGCATGCCCTTGAACTTCTGAACTGATTGCGTTACATTCCTCGGTGTGGGGTTCCAAACCCTCCACAGTTTGCAGGATTCGGGCAAAAGTCGTCGAACCGAAAGACCAAGTAAATCGTTTGTCAGCTTCTTAAAGGATCTCGAAGGCACTATGTCAATGTATCTTCAGGGCTTTGATGTCTTGCCTGTATAATCATCCCTGGGTTCAGAAACGTGGAAGCAATTGCATGCGGTCTTTGGGTGCCAAAGGAGATACCGACCCATGTATCGGTGCACGTTCAGACCAAGGGATCATCCAAACCAGTATTTCAGAAGGAGAAGGGCTTTGGGGCTCTAGTGCAGATGACATACATTTGCCTATCGATCTTTTCCATGCACATGCAGAATATTGGAAGAGAGAGGCCCTCACACGTCGCAAGGCGTGGGCAGATGTCCACTCTTCCAGCCTAGGAAACAAACAACCAAGATCACCTTCACAAAGATCGTGCAATTCTAGCTTCCGTTGAGAGATGAGGTTGCCGGTGCTAAGCTCTCTACTGTTGGGGAGCAGTGGCTGTATGCATGTGTGCCTGAGCCGGTCTACCCACACTTTAGTTGAGAAGTGCTCATACATTGACTCACGATTGTAGATGACTGTCCGCTTAGAAGCTGTCCTGAGACCTCCTAACGTTTAGGGTAGACTGCTCCAGCGGGTAGGCCTAGAGCTCAAGCATCATGTGGTTCTCAATGACAGTTGTTCTGTGGTGACCTCTCCCGACCTCTGCCAGGAGAGTCTAAAGCCTCAACCCAGAAGGACCCGTCTTTTTGATGGTTCTAATCTCGCCGGTCCGCTGCCATTTGTTTCGGCTTTCTTTAAGTTGTCAGACCGCAACGGCCCAGCGGGGGCCTAGCACCCGTCCGCACGCGTTTTGCTCCGGAACGCCGCAGCTCGCCGAAGAGTAGTCGGTTTGTGAAATTTGGAAGCATCGTTTAGGTTCGGTGGTATAGACATGCCGAACATTTTCGCTGCGGTGGTTGTTGACTCGAGCAGCGAGTCTTTTGATTCCAGGTCCTGGTCGAATCCTGGAGCATTGTGCCTTGTTTGGCAAGGAGGGACTGTGAGCTGTGTTGGGAAAGGCTTTTCCGTTGCAGCTCATCAGGGTGAATCAGGGTCGGAGGGTTTGCCATAGTTCGTTGCCTTGTATCCTTTCTGGGAGGCACAGGGCAGCACAAGGTCTCGGTTTAAGGACTCTCGGGTCATGGCGAAAGCCGAAACCCTTTGAACAAGCTATCCTGCAGCCACAACCAGCAGCTGTCGCCGGTAAGGGAAGTAGCGTAGTTGCAAATGGCATATTATGTCAGTGGAAGGGGGTAATAGAGGTTTGAACAACAACGGGCCCTGTCTTGCTCCGGTTTCAATGATGTACCCTACACCACAGCTCTCTTCGACTAATCGATGGTGCCTGCATCGCAATTTCCAGGTTACCCTCATGTTGCGGATATGGACTGCGACGCTCCTCACCTGGTCCTGCGCCATGGAGCTGCAGGCCTCTAGTATGTCCAAGATCCCCCGAACCCTAGTCTTGCAACACAGCCCGAACCCTAGTCTTACAACACAGGCAGTGGCCCTGCTTCCCCCAGATTTATTCAACAAAAACCCGAAGAGGTCAGGATCACCAGGTTATAAGTACCCTAATTTGGGTTATATCTAAATATGTATAAGTATAGTTACCGTATTCATATCCCTGTCTTGTGGTGGAATTTCAGGGCGGGCGGAAGAAAGAATGGGCTGCTGATGTGTTGGGGGGGGGGGTTCCGGTTAATTTCTGTTCTCAGTGCTATGACCCTGTTGTCGTGTTTGCGAGAGATAAGCATGGTTCTTATTTTGCTCTGAATCATTATGACTATCATTAGGTGCATGAGTAGTTTTCTTATTTATCTATACAACAGGAACTTCAGCCGCCCCCAGATGGCTATCATAATCATAGTTGACAGGATTCTTGGATCCGAAGCACGAAGCAAAAATACTAAGCTTTCGAGGACGGCAGTCTTTCAAACGTCGCACTTGTCAGCTTTCGAAGCTCAGGGTGCGAAATAGGAGTTTTTCGGGAACTCCCAAGAAGTGCTGAATAGAGTGATCGTTGAGTGACAGGTCCAGAAGCCAGCCGACAGAGCAGCCTCACTACACGAACAGTATATTGATGCCCCGAAACATGCACAAGCAGAGTGCGGTTTATTGCCTGCGGCTAACTCATTTGGACTTTTCCGAGACTAGCCGAAAATTCCGTCGGCAAGTTGGACTCTCGGGCTTCAGCTTAGCAGCAGGGTGTCTTCCGGAGGCAGGGCTTGGGTGTGCGAGTGCATCGTCTGAGTTGACAGTAGTCCAACAAAGCCACCCCCCCCCCAAAAAAAAAAAAAAAAACAGAAACAATACTCATTTTTTTGGTGTAACCTTGGACCTGGCCTGGTGCCCGCTTCCGCAGACCATTGACATGTTCCGGGCAATGCAAATGCCGGAAGGAGGCAGGTCCTGTGGGGTTTGAGGTCTGGTTCGGGTTCAGGTTGGTGCAGCCTCCAGAGCCTGGCTTTTTGCAGATAATTCTTGATTGCCTGGGCTTGGCTTGCGAAGACGGTTCAAGACACAACCGCTTCCTTTTCACAGTATGCCTGCATGAAGCTGGCAAGCCTGCTCCATAAATCACTCAGGCAACGAGACGAACAGGGTGCAGAACAACAACATGGCAGAGACCAGATTGCAGCCTGCTGCGGGGCGGTTGGTTTGATGCCTCAAAATAGTTCTTTCGTTGAAAGGTGTGCAATCGGGCAGCATGTCCCACCCAGGAAGCATCGTAGCAGACCTCGATACACAGCTGCATGCGGATCTTTGATTTCTAAGGATGTGCTTGGAACTCTCAAGTACATCATGACGGACTGCTGCGGGGTCAGATCTAGACTCGTAATTAGGTCCTGCGTGTTCCTTGACTGCTGAAATACAGGGTTCACAACTGCAGCCCTTGAGCGGAATGTTTCCGACATCACAACACCACCTGCGCGACACTGACCTTCCCCAGACTCAGAGGAAAATCCACAAACCCGAAAGCTCCAGACCGATGATTCTGGAATGCAAACTTTTTGCACAGTGTACCACAACAACTACTATATGTATAGGTTGGATAATGTAACCAAATACAGTACACCGTCACATGTCACCTTGTCATGGTATACAAGATGTTTTCTTGTATGTCATCTGAGTTTATCCGAACTTGTCCTGTATTAAGACGTGGTATCAAGATGTGTTCATGTGTCTTATTGTGTTAGATCGATGTTCTATGTTATTACAATAGGTTTTCAGTTAATACACTGTTATTACAGTTAGAATGACCAAGCGAGTAACAACATTAATGTAGTTATTGCTATATACTACTGAGGATAATCGCGCAATAGTCATAATCTACTACCTACTGGTGAGAATCATGAAGAATCATAATAGCATTGGCAAGAATGGTCGCAAGAGTGCGAACCAGCCAAAGCTCGAGTTCCTGCTGCTAAGTAACGGAGCCTGGCTTAGGTAAAGAAACAGCAGACTGCGCAACATCTCGAACGCAGACCCCTAACCCCTGAACCCTAAGCCGAACACAGGAGGTCATCGTAGAACATGTTCAAGGCGATCCTACTCGGACTGCGAGGAACGGGTAGATGTTGTGCTGTGGACTTCAGGGGTGCTTGAGAGACTTGGAGTTGGGCTTACAAGGGTTAGGGTTTGGGGGCTGACCACTTTGGGTTTCCTTCAAAGCCGTCAGCATGTGGCCTTCTGAGCAAGTTGTTGTAGCCAGATTTGTCAGTTCAGATGTTTACAGCCTGTGTCGCACATGTGCAGTGTTACAGGATGCAGAGAGAGAGAGAGAGAGAGAGAGAGAGAGAGAGAGAGAGAGAGAGAGAGAGAAAGAGAGAGAGAGAGAGAGTGTGTCTGTGTGTCTGTGTGTGTGTGTGTCTGTGCGTGCGTGTGTGATGCGCGAGCTTTGTATTGGTTTGGCGTGCTGCTGCGATGAATCATGGGAACTCTTCTCCCTTCAGGAAATATAACATCGATTCCGTGGGGCCTGGCCCTCACGGCTCAGGCTGAGGTGCATTCTTTTTTCTCACGAATGTGTTGGCAGCCAGAATCGCCTCTTCGCTCGGTCCAAGGCATTATCGCGTGCAGGTGAGGAATCCCGCTGCCATTCAGGAGCGTTTGCAACGGCATGGGGCATGTTTAGACTCTAGACAGTTCAGTGAGCATGTAGTCGCACTGTTGCTGTTGCTGCATACCTGGTGCTTTTGCCACCAGGAAGGAGGTGTCATGGGCTTCTCCAACTATTTCAGTGCGTTCGACTACGGCGTAGCAACCAGCATCTTGATCGCAACGGCAGAACTAGTCAAGCTTCCACGCATGGGCGTATGTAATCATTCTCCGGCCCAGGTCAACCAGCCTTGGAAGAGCTTGCCAAGGCTCGTGGGGCGAACGCCCCGATAGCATCGGGAAGCGCGCCAGAGCTTTTTGTCAACCGCGCACATTTCTTGGATCCGGAGGTTGGCGATTTTGTGGGCATCCAGGTTACGGATCCTACAGTGAACGTGTCTCGTCTTTGCTGAAAGCTGATTGCGACAGCCTCGTACGTGCACTCATTTGCGCTTGTGACATGCATGAGGCTGTTGTCGTTTTGTCATATCCGCACCTTGGATGGCAGCAACGAAGCCTCTACGAAATCTGGGACTGCCATTTTCCATGCTTCACTTCGCTCGGTTCAAGGTACTACTGGTATAGCTTGACCGGTGTGTGCCCAAATCTGCCATGGACGCACCTGGGCATGATCTTTTTGTCAGGCTAGTCTGCAAGCCTGGAACTGTGCATGTGTCCTCCAGCGTAGAGATTGACATGCCAGGTGCTTGAGGGGATCCAACTATCCAAGCTGCCCGACAACGTCAGAGGATGTCGG